TGACATGTTCTGCTTCCTCCACAGCTCTACCGCCTGTGCTGGAGCCTGCGCAACAGCAAAGAGGAGCGGATTGACCTGGATGCCACTGAGGAGGACGCCAATGAAGCCCCAGAGGAGACCTTTGAAATAGGTAAGTGCCTTCATCAAAGCCCAGATCTTTCTCCTAGAGGGGAGATGGGAGTGGAGTGGGGAGGTGTGAGAGGAGGAAATGGGTTTTGGGACATTTGCTCAAAGCTTGCAGACACAGAGGAGGAGGTACAGAAGGGGAGGTACAGAATCATTGCAGCTCCCTCAGCCCTCACCGTGTACAGCCTTCAGTGATGACGGGTGGGTGAGGAACTTGCCGCCCTGACTTGATCTGGGGCATGGCCAGTGGCCAAGGGAAGAGTCAGAGCTCTTCTGACATAGCCTGTGACCTGAAAGCAGATGGAATCACAACTATGGTTCATCCGAATGACATCAGCAGCATGGAATAGAAGCTCAGGATCTTATGTCTTACCTGCCTAAGATTTAGAGAACCAAGTTTCTCAGGCAGTCCATTGAGATAAGTCTCGGTCAGCGTTCAGACACTCATCCTGATCATGGAGAAATGCTTTTCTCAACTTCTATGTTCTTCCCCTCCTCGGAGAATGGCTGTTCTCAACTTCTGTTCTTCCCCTCCTCGGAGAATGGCTGTGTTAATGTGTGGTGTGCACAGGTGTGGGAGCTCAAGGGCGTATGTTCCTTCTTCTTCTTCTTTTAATCCTTACCCAAGGATGTTTTTCCATCGACTTCTAGAGAGAGTGGAAGAGAGAGGGAAAGACAGACAGGAATATCAGTGAGAGAAACACATTGATTGGTTGCCTCCTGCATGCGCCCCAACCAGGGCCCGGGCCTAGGAGGAGCCTGCAACGAAGGTACATACCCTTGACCGGAAAGGAACCCGGAACCCTTCGGTCTGCAGGCCTATGCTCTATCCACAGCGTCAAATGGGCTAGAGCAAGGTCATGTGCTCTTTACCTGGTGTTGGGCAGAAGGTCTCATCCCGCCACCTGAAGGGAACGCACATACAGCAGAACAAGTCCTACATCTGGTTGTCAGGAATATCAGAGAACCCTAGCTCTGGAAAAGGCCCCGGAGACCAGTTGGTCTTATCACCTCGTTTTGAAAGCATATACATGGAGACCCCGGAATAGAGAGGCTTTGCCGATGGCCCCAGCTCTGACACAATCTGCCTTTGATCTCGAAAGACCTTTCCATTCTGACACCTGTGGCTACACAGGAAGTGCCGAAGTAGCCTCAGCCGTAGGGCAGCTGATCCTGGTGCTGGAAAAGGCAGCCCCTTCCTGCTTCCCGGGAGCTGGCATGGCCCCCACTTCTCCCACCTCCAGAAATGTCCCCACATTGAGGGAGAACACCATAGACTTTAAAATACTCACCATGCAATGAGGAGTATTTCGAATGTTTTCGTGCAGGCAAAAGATTATTATTAATTTACTAGAGGCCCAGTGCACGAAATTCGTGCATGGAGGGGTCCCTCAGCCCGGCCTGCACCTTCTCCAATCCAGGACCCCTTGGGAGATGTATAACTGCTGGTTTAGGCTCAATCCCACAACCGGCAGTCAATCATCCCTCTCGCAATCTGGGACCGCTGACTCCTAACTGCTCACCTGCCTGCCTGCCTGATTGCCTTTAACCCCTCTGCCTGCCTGCCTGATCGCCCCTAATCGCCTCTCTCTCGGCGCCCGCCACCGTGGCTTTGTTCGGAAGGACGTCCGGAAGATGTCTGGTCTATCTGGTCTAATTAGCATATCACTCTTTTATTAGTATAGATTTGTTTTTGCACCAGAGGACAGGGTTAAGACCTGGTTGGAAAGAACTCACCCAGTTTTAACCCAAAGAGGCAAGCTCGTGTAGAGACAGCCTGTGGTAGTGGGATTCAGGAAGCACTGAGGTTGAATCCTGACTTCTCTACTCGCTCCCCTGGGTGAGTGATTCCATTTTTCCTAAAGCTCAGGCTCCTCACACGCAAGTATTCTCAGTGGTAGCCTGGGCTTCACAGCGCTGTTGGAAACCTTGAGTGAAACCATGCTCCACAACAGAATCGGGCATAATCATACCGTTATGACGGCCACGGAGGAAAAGGTTTCCAAGTTTATCTGAAAGGCGGGAGCAGCCAGTGTGCATCCATCAGGGATGCTTAGAGGGGACTCCCACGCCGGCTGGAGAATTTGAGCTTAGTGACTTCTGAGGTTTGTGGCAGTACTTGAATTCTGTCGTTTCTTGGTGAACCTATGGTGAAATCATACTGAATGTCCCGCCTTTAAAGTACAATAAACTAAGATCTCTAGAGGGCTTTTATAAACAATGGGTGTCCCCTCATCATTCTCCAAGAAACAGCAGTATGAGAAGTCACCCCTATATCATTGTTATCACCACCACCAGCATATGGCAGATAATGGTATGACCACAATGTATTTTAATTATGAATATCTTACTCTAGTCTAGTGTTTCATTTTGGCCCCACATCATTCTTTTAAAAAACAGATAATACAAGTATAATTCTTCCAATTTTACAGATGAGTAAAATGAGACATAGAGACGTTCTGGAATATTTTCTGCAGAAGGCAAGATCTTTTACAATCCAAATATTTAAAAAAATAAAATAACTTATGTATATGGTTTAAAAACAAATAACACAGAAAGTTCTACATTAAAAAGTAAAAATGGTCCCACTTCCATTACTTGGCCCAGAGGTGACCACCATTGAGAGTTTTTTTGTCCGCAAGAGAATTTTAAAAAAAATATTTTTATTGATTCTAGAGAGGAAGAGAGAGAGGGAGGGAGGGAGAGAGAGAAACATCAGTTATGAGAGAGAATCATTGATTGGCTGCCTCCTACATGCCCCCTCCTGGGGGAGGTATCTAGCCCACAACCTGGGCGTGTGCCCTTGGCCAGAATCGAACCTGGGACCCTTCAGTCCACAGGCCAACGGAGAGCCCTGGTCTTTACACTCACCCACGTCTGGAGGCCATCTGCGGTTTTCCAGGTGGCCCAGTGGGGCACAGGGTGGGAGCTGAGAACAAGCAGCAGGAAGAAGGCTCGGCAGAAGGACAGACTGACTCTAGAGTGCTCAGACCAAGGTTCTAGACCTGCCAACTCTGAGGACAGGAGTAGGCCTGCTCTCAGCCCTGGTCCTGGGCGCCCAGAGAAGCACACTGTCAGTGGCCAGGCAGACATGCAGATGCTGTGCACAGCTGCAGGAGAGATTAGCACCTGTTATTTCTGAGCCCAGCCTCCCACACTTGTGGACTGGCTTCCAGGCCAGAGCTGCTAGCC